AAGAAGAAAAAAGGATGTGATATTCAAAACCCATTCTGTAATATGGGTTTTTGTATATCCACAGGCATATATTAATAAATGGCTTCTCCACTAAAGAGAATTTTGTTCGTTTTACTTCAATATATACTCTTCACAATGATGGCACACATTTTATGTCTTAATTTCATTTGTGAAAACACATTTTACACTCGATCTTAGCCAAAAGGCTGAGAAGCGATTGAAAACACATTTTAGAGGCTGGGTGCATTGGGAAGCTGAGGCAAGTGGATTGCCTAAGCTCAGGAGTTTGAGACCACTCTGAGTAAGAGTGAGACCTTGTCTCTGCTAAAAATAGAAAACTAGCTGGTGTTGTGGCGGGCACCTAGAGTCCCAGTTACTCAGGAGGCTGAGGCAAGAGGGTCACTTTAGCCCAAGAGACTGAGGTTGCTGTGAGCTGTGATGATGCCACAGCTGGCCTGGATGACAGAGTCAAGCTCTGTCTAAAAAAAGGAATGAATACATTTTAGAAGATTTTAACTTGCCAAAACTGTTGCTATGAAGAATCACTTTACTATGGTATTCCATCTCTAGACTTACAGGAACAAAAAGTATGTTGTCCCCAAATTTGCATCTGTGTTTTGGTTTAGGCAGAATGTGATTGCTAAAGTTTATGTTTTGGTGGCATAGGACAGTATTATTTTCCCTCCAAAGGGTTATTTTTACTTTACTTTGTAATCTTAGAGTACACTGTGTTTCTCAACTAGTGATAGGAGGTCAGCACCTGGCATGGAGCGTGTCTCTTTCTGTCTGCATCTCAGAGTACTGTGAACCGCTTACCATCAGGACATAGCATTGCCCTGTGAGTGAAGGCACCTGCCTTGGGCCTTCTCCAGCTACGCCCTCCTCCCAGACTCAAGAGTCCACAGGGCCCAGGACATAGCCACCTAAATGCCTTCTGCTGCACGCATGGGTGTCTGAGATCCCCCAGGTACCCTGCCTGCATTTCTAGCATCTCCAGCAGTCTTTTCTTGGGGTCCATTCTCTTGTTGGCAGGTCACATCTCTCACCTGTGTGCTCTGTGGCTGCTGTTTATGAGGGCATGCAGATGTTTTGTTACCTGGCACCAGCCCAGGAATTCATACTTATCTGCATGAGGCCCTTTGAGGTGCAGGATAGATGGGGTTGGAAGAGAAGGGAGGTTTACCGAGGGCTGCAGGCCAGGGATCTGGGGCTGGCTGTCCTCCTGTCCCTCCTTTCAAGCGTAGAATCCTGAGGAGTCTTGAGCATTCTAGATTTGAATCTGCTTTCCAGGTCATAATGGAGGTGTATTTGTCAAAATAGGAGGACAGGACGTGTTTTATTTGGCACCATAACAGTTTAATGCACAATTCAGCCTTCTGGTTGTATGATCTATGCATTTGTGTTCTTCACCCAGACCCCACACATCTTAGAGGTGAGCCTCCTACACGGTATTAAATGCCACCTGATGCTTCACCCCAGCATTTACTGTAGTGTTTGGCATATAATAGGTGCCAATAAAGGAATTAAATTGGTAGTTGAGAATGCCTCACTGTGGCAGAAGATCAGAAGTGTAGACAGCCTCTGTTAGCCTTACAGTATTCAGAAGTGACCGTACAGTGGCAGAGTGGAACTTGTAAAAAAGCACAAATTGAGTTCAGGTTTTCCACTTGTTCTTCACAGCATTTCAGTTTAACCTTTGTGGATGCCCCTTACTCCTGTCACCTCACACCGTGTCCTGTGCCAGCCTGCAGGAATGCTGGTTCACAGCACCTTTTTCCCCTTCACGCAGTGCTCATGCTGGCCTGAGCTGCTCATTCCTTTAGATTTCTGCTTGGCTGGTGATGCACGGGCTTAAATGTTGCCAGGTTGTCCTTTCCACAGGAAGCAGCAACTGCCACTTTCTGGTCCTTAGTGCCAGGCGTCACATGACATGGTCAGCATCCAATGGTACAGTTCGTATCTACAGTAACTTTATGAGGTAGAGGGATTGATGCTGATATGACAGGTATAAAAATAACATCAGGAGTGGCTAAGTGATTTGTGCCCAGGATTCAGAGCTGGTGAATAGAAAAAAAAATCTACTTTTATTTACTTCAAAAGCTAATTTCCAACAAATGTGAATGGCGATGTGCTTTGGAGTGAGATGCCAGTGATGTTTTTGCTTTGCCTTTCTTTATCCTGCATAGGAATTCAACCTTATTGATAGAAGAGAACTCGCACCACTCCAGGAACTGATTGAAAAACTCACCTCAAAGGACAGATGAGGGACACAGAGCAGTGGAGATCGTTCCTCAAATGATGCCCTGTGCAGTGTCTTTGGGGTTCTGTTGTATTTTGTTTTTATCTGGATTGTTTCTGTCTTAGGTTTGGGGCTTGTTTGGGTTCCTTCTTCTTTATTCTGAATGTATAAAACCATTTTCTGTTGCCAGAGAAAGCAAGAACGTTCTCTATACATTTGATTGGGGTAAATTTTGTCTTAGTAGCATTTGGTATTTTATTTTTTTAACTTGGTTTTGGTTACTTGAGGAGTTTTTAAATAATAGTGTGTGCTGAACAGAAATGCTTATTGATTGAACTGCCAATGGATGGAGTTCTGTGTTATGTAAATTGTGGCCCATTTTGAAGTCCCCAAAAGACTTATGTTTTTAAGTGCCTTGGTAGGCTCACTTCTGAGGTACAAAGCACAGATAACAGTATAGAACTGAACAGGGCTCGAAACAATATTAGGATTACTTCCCAGGGCACTTACTGGTGCATGTTGTAAAATATCTGTGACAAAAGCCATAGTTTACCTAAATTGATGATCTCCAGCTTTTACTACTTTGAAGAAATAGAATTTATAAGGACATGCATGTAGAACATAAAAACACAGTATTTCTTAATTATTTTTTATATTGACAGTAGTATGTTCTGTTCAACAAGTGCTTTAAGTTCTTTTTTCATCTCCTGATATCTGTGATACTGAGATGTGAGGATATTGAAATGTAATACGCATTTTGGCTTTTTCCACATGTTAACTGCACTGTAGGTGAAGAATTCAGGTCATATATAGGATTGCCGTCCTCAGAGGTGATGCTGAACTGTGAGGTTTCTCAGCAGTTGCCAAATGAGCCATAAGTCTGCAGAAGCCCCTTCTCCTTTGAAGAGGAGGGGATAGAAGTGTGTGTGGTTGGGGGTGGGTGAGGGAAGGGAAATTAAGTTTGGAAAGTCAAGTTCTAGAAAGTCCTGTCTTAAAACCCTTGAGTAGAATGGTGTGAAGTATTAGTCAATTACTTATAAACAAGTCTTAGAGACTTCTTTTTAGGAAGCAACTTCCATGAGAAGTTAAAAATAAATTAATAATTTTAAGTATAGACATTAAAGATAGAATATAAGGACTGTTTGGGGGAAATTGATCACTTTTTAACATTTCCATTCAGTGAATGGAGCTGATGTTTGGCTATCATTTTAAAATGATACAGTACCTTCTTTACTTATCCTAGGCCTAATTTGAAGCATTCTGACTTCTGATTTTTCCACTGTGAAAGGAAATCTTTTTCTTTGCAGTGATATCAAATAATGAAAATGCTAATTAAGTAGTTAATAACTTTTAAATTTTATTTGTCATGACTTTCTAGTGAGTTATTGTAACAAATTTACATACTTAGTTTTAAAAAACTTACTAATTTTTTTACTTCAGTTTTATTCTTAAGAGATACCCTTTTTAGGTTTCTAGTTCTAACCTTGTCATTTCTGGCAAATGTGCTTTTTTCAGTTAAAATTGTATTTTCCTTCAGTCGGAAAACATAGACTTTTTCCTTATAGAATAGAAATGCTTATTCTGAACTTGTACAGATTAAAAACAATAGAAAAGAATCTAAAATGAAATCCATTTGTTTTTGCCATTAACAAGTAGAGCAGTCATATAATCCAATGCCATTACAATTATGAACACCAGGAGCTGCCTTTTTCTCCGTTTCATTTCTAGCAATTATTAACCAGGTACCAACAGTGCAGGTGATAGGAGAGAGCCTGACAGAGGCAAATACGTTGGACATTTATTGATATAGATCATTTATAAACTGCAGTGAGAACTAGTTGACTTCTGTAAAACCAGTATTTTAGTGTCCAAGTAGATAACATCAACCACTGTGGGTTGATTCAGAAATAAAATTGGTGTTAAGTGATTGAGGTTTCCCTGTATGGGAAAATGAAGCACAGCATTACACAAATAGTCTTCCATTCTGCATCTGACTTCCTGTTAATAGCCAGGTGTAAAGAGAAAAGTGAAAAGTGGTTCTTTCTCTTTTAAGCCTTATATAGTAGAATGCTGTAAAAAATGGAAAAATATTTCTATAAATTAATGTTTAGTAGTAGACACACTCTTCTTTGTGTGTAGATAGATTATTTTCACTGTGCCATAATCTCAGGTGCCTGTTTCTGAGTTTTTCTTTCAGAATTATTGGAAAATAAGGAGATCTGTGTATAGAGGGTAACAAAGCATGGAAGTCAACTAGGGAAAAGGCCTGGCGTTGTACACGGTGTTCTATGGCTACAAGTAAGGAAGTTACAGAGAATATGAGAAAGAACTGATTTAATAAAAGGATGATTTGATTTGGTTGGTTCCAATGAAAGTAAGATGTCTTTTTAAAAATAAGAATCAAAACTTGGCTTTTCAGAGGGTTTGCTTATAAATGTCTATTTTATTCTTTTTAGAGTTCTTTAATTTATAAATAACAAGGATAATTATTTCCTCCTGCTTTTCATACATGAATATAAAGCAAAGTTGGTTTTCTTATCCTTTGGTCAGAGTGTCCCATAAAATGTAAAGCACTAACAGTGTTACTGTCACTCACAGTGACAGTGCTTTGGCTAGCTGGTAATATGAAGCAAAGTTTTGTAATTATTTTAGATGATGGAGACAAGTTGTGGTAGAGATAAATTAATAACTGAGTGAACGTCTTTTGGTCGGCAGTAGATGGCTGGCTGTCTTTGCTGACTTGATGTTCCCTTGCCCATAAATTCCGTGGTGTCAGACTGCCCTGCGCAGTAAGCACGTGTTAGCTGGGAGACACTTGGGAGCTTGGTTTACTTTAAACTGAAAGATTTCAGATTGTATCTCTCTACTTTCCCTCTGTTAGTCATTTATAAATTCTAAATGGTCAGCATAGAATGTATTAGGTAGATGTGTTTAGTGTGTAATAGATCTAAGAGTGAGTTACAGCCCAGCTTATCAGAATGGATAAAACACTACAGTCTCTTATCAGGAAATACAGATGATGTGAGTATTTATATAAATAATCACAAGACTCCATTTTATGTGTTAGCATTTTACTTGCTTATGGGAAAATAGCAAAATAGCATTTCCTTTATACCATGTCTGCACCCTCTCTGAGAGAGGTTTTGGTTACCACTGACATGGTACGATATGTGAGATACACATGTTCAGTTGTAGAACTTTCTTTTAGAATGAATGCATTACACCTGAACAGTTGGTCTTGAGAGTGGTTCACTTGGGCATTGCTCACCCAGCCATGTGCAAAGCATGATGCATTTGAATCCTTCTAGTGACACCAGGAGTCAGTTTGTGACCAGGCAAGAAAATTAGTTGCATCACCGATTGAAAGTCAATTGCATAGTTGTTGTAGTTGCACCACAAACGTATTTGGCAGCTTAATACGACCTCTTTTAATCACCAAAGTCTGATAACTTCCCTGTTCTCTCAGGACTAAAGCATTACAGATGTTCAAAAGAATGTTGCATAGACTTAGCATTTGCAAAAGAGAATGTTTTAAGAATTGGTAGCATCATTGAATAAAGGAATAAATTCCGGTGTCATTATTCTGAAGTGGACAGTATCATTGGATGTGTAGGTTTTACTTTAAAAAAGATTCAGTTCAATTACCTTCTAATTAAATAGCATATTAATTAAAATAATAACTTTTCTATTTTGTTTCTTTTCCTGAAATTGTTTGAATTTCATCTTGACTCCTGTATTATAATTTTGATTGAATGGATAGTATCAAAAAATGGATCCAATATTAACATAGAAGTAGTTTAAGTAAACAGCCTTTACCTCTATCTTTTTATTAACAAAAGTTTTCACTTAAATGAATAATTTGACTTAAGTTTTCACTTAAATGAATAATTTGACCTAGGTGGTGAAGGCAGTCTTTAATTAAAGAGTGGGGATTATTATACAAAGAAATTGGAATAAGTTTTATATATTAAGTATGCTGAGTTTTAAGCCTATATTTCACAAAATATTTATAACTATATAACCATTTCATATATTGTCTGTAACTTTAAATTTTAAATGTCTTTTCAGAAGATATGGGACCAACAGTACATTTGTAATATGGAAATGTGACTGCATGCCAATAAGAAAATTTCTCTTACTTTGAAACTTAGCAAGAATAGGAAAGAATATACCAATTTTTAGAAACACAGATCTATACTTTAAGGACCACTATAAGATAATTTAAATAATTACCACACTTATTTTGTCATAATGTTAAGAATCACCATTATTCAGCTATCAACTTAATTGAGTGAGTTGATCAGTGCTTAGAGGTAAAGCTATGTTAAGATGGAATGGAAAAGTTTAATTTGAAGATGTAACAAAAATCCTGATGGCATGTGATTTGAACTTTTAAGGCTTTCCTAATAAACTAATCACAAATAATTCATTTTGAAGTTATGAAGCTATGCTTCACATCTGCCACTCAGAATCAAACTGGTTCACATTTTGGCAAAAGACAAAATACAGATTAAAATGTTGGGTACTCTCATTTTGTAAGTATAATACAGGTTTTTCTCCATGTAAAACAGTACAACAGAAAACTTTGGATTACAATTCTCAAAGATAGCAAAATCATAGGCCTTTTGCAGCTGTATGTTTTCCCACCCTCCCGTCCCTCATGTGGGAGCACACCTGTGCACAGTTGTGCGCGCGCACACACACACATGAAAAGAAAGCAGGTAGGTTGATTTTACAGCTCTTTATTGTTAGAGATTCTCAGTGCTTACTGTTAATTTCAATACAGAGGTTTCACTTTGTTTTGGTTGACAGCTTTCTTTAAATTGTATCAACCAAAGCTGAGATTATTAATGATAGAAAGTTAAAATTTTTATTAATAATTTATTCATATATTATTATAGGTGGATGTTTGTTACAGTTTTGCACGGTTTTTATTTTTATTTTGTTTCTGAAATATTTAAATGTGCAGGTTATAAAATAGATTAATGTATTTTAATTTTAAAACACTTTTCTCCTTAAATTGTTTTGCAGGCAGAAATGACTATTTTTAGGGAAAATAGTTTTTTATAGCCACGAAATTGTATTTGTTATTTTTGTACATGCACGACCCGGGTGGTGAAGGCACTAATCTCGTAGAGAACACTGACTTTTGTTCTATTTGAACTTTTCCTATTCATTTGTTACTTACAAGTACCACTTAGTAACAGTGTCATGAAATTGGAGTTGAGAGAGAATACAATATATATGAAAACACGTAAAGATTGACTAGAAATCATTTCTGAACACAAAAGCAGAGGAATACTGCCATTGCCCTGTGATGGAAGCATCAGGGCAGCCTTTACGCTGTGGAGGTGTTGAGCAGAACACATAAAGACGGGCATCCTGCTCTCCTGGGGATACAGTTCTCTATTACAGCAGCTAGGAGGAGGAAATGTGTTCTAAGATATAACATTCAACATGGGCTCTAAATTATAACCTGTGTCAAGATAATGCAAATTGTAGTTATTTATCAGAGTTTAATTGCTTTATCATTTTTATTTTAAAAGGGGATGCTGAATGTCAGAAAATCTGTAACATGTTTTATTTGGAAGATGTAAATGTGTACAGACTTGTATGTGATAGGATGGGAAATATTTAAATTCTAGGATTTTCTCTTAAGGAAGAAACTGAATGTTTATAAGGAAAGATTAATAAATACTTATATTTGGCCATGAATCCTGACTTTGTATTAGTTTTTGTTTTTGCTATATGTAGTCCCAAACTAAACATATTCCAAGGGAAATCTTGATGGCATATAGAACATGTTGAACATTAAAATTTGTTACGCATCATTTTCTGTAACATTCATAACAACGCTATGTTAGTATCTCGGTGACTTACATGCTAGAAAGTTAAAGCTCAGAAATTGTACGTGGTCTTGATTTGGATTAGAATTTAAAAACTCTAATATGCCTAAACTTGAAGTCAGTGTTTTGTTTTTTTTCTTTAGTATGTACTACGATGAGAATAATTGTCAGCAAAATAAAAAATCATTTGTTCACCTTTCCACCCAGCTGTTATCTAATGTCTCCTTTACATGTCATTAAGGAACATTAATAAATCTGGAGAATCATTGACTCTGATGTCTAAGCTCCTAAAGGAAATGTGTATCTTAGAACTATTCTTAGAGTACCATTATATAGAGGTATTTATGTTAGAGGCATTTGTATTTGGACCTTTTGGTTGAGATTATTTAATGGTAGTAGCCACAGTTGCTCAAA